AGCAATATAATACCTTCAGCATAACATCAATCGTTTCACTTAATGTATTCAAAACAGAGTTGTAATTCAGAGTTTAGGAATCGCCTTTCAAGAAACTACAAATAGTTAAACTTTCAACAGTCTCTTTTATTTCGTTTCTTCAGCTTTACTTTCTTCTCCAAGTTGTGTTTAATTTGATTCTTTAAAGAGAGTTGCGGACCTGAACCTAGACCGCTTCTTGCTTAATGCTGTGTGTGTAAGTTTGAGTGGCTGTGTGGCTTTGTGAGTGTGTATATGTGTGTGTGTAGGGGGCGTGTGTGTGTGTTTAGCTGTGTTAGTGTGTGGCTATGTGAATGTGTGGCTGTGTGAGTGAGTGTGGCTGTGTGGATGAGTGTGGCTGTGTAGGTGAGTGTGGCTGTGTGAGTGAGTGTGACTGTGTTAGTGTGTGGATGTGTGTGTGTGTGTGGTTGAGTGGCTGTGTGGCTTTGTGAGTGTGTATATATGTGTGTGTAGGGGGCGTGTGTGTGTGTTTAGCTGTGTTAGTGTGTGGCTATGTGAATGTGTGGCTGTGTGAGTAAGTGTGGCTGTGTAGGTGAGTGTGGCTGTGTGAGTAAGTGTGACTGTGTTAGTGTGTGGATGTGTGTGTGTTAGTATGTGTGTGTGTGTGTGTGTGGTTGAGTAGGTGTATGGCTCTGTGTGTGGTTGAGTGTGTGTCTGCGCGTGTGTGTGTGTGCGCGTGCGTGCGTGTGTATGCCTTAAGTGTCTTGTGTTTTGTGGTAATTCTCAATGGTCTAATTCCCCTTTAACAACTCTTAAGAAAATGTAAATACGCAATAATAATAATAATAATAATAATAATAATAATAATCGTAGTCGTCGTAATAATAGTAGTAGTAATCATAATAGTAGTAGTAGTAGTAATAATAGTAGTAGGAATAATAATAGTGGTAGTAATAATAATAATAATGATAAAGGTAAACCGTAAACGACACAGATAGACACACGTGCCAATGAATATCAGCTGATCAAACAACAACAATCATTTCGTAAACACTCGTGTCATGTAAACTTCCCCCCTTCCAACCCAGATCAAAACTCCCAACCATTCTCCCTTCTCTTTATAAATTTTTTTTTTTTTTTTATATATATATATAACCTTTTTTTTTTAAGCCCTGTTCCCTTTCACCTCCTCTTCTATATATTTTCCTTTGTTATTCTTTCATAGAGTATGTTCTTTGTCCGGTATGAACCATGGGAAGGGAGGTTATCCGAAGAAACCATGTGTGACCTTTTGACAACAAGTCGCTGGCGTCACCTACAGCCTCTTGTATCGCTCGCGCTCTATTCATTTCTGGACGTGGGGTGCGCCGAAGGGTAGCGAAGGAAGGAAGGGGAGAGTCAGGGGAAAGGGAGATGTTATGGATGAAGGGGAGAAGAGGTAGTAGGGGATGGATAAAGGGAAGGGTAAGGCAATGGGAGGAAGAAGGGAAAGAAATGATATTTTGAATAACCCCTTCCCTTCCTTCATCACATCCTGCCATCTCCATTTCTACCACCATCCCCCCTAACACTAATGTCCGCAACTACCACCACCATAAAGCTCCAACACCCGACAACTATTATCTATCCCAAATCCTCCATCCCCAACAATCATTCTTATATACTCCTCCCACCGCCTATCACCATCACCCCCACCAATTTAGCCTATTTCTCACAATTACCCATATTAGCCCTATCCCCCACCACCACCAACATTACCCACCACCACCAACATTACCCACCACTACCAACATTACCCACCACCACCAACAACACCCCACCACCCCCACAATCACTACTCACCACCACTACCCACCACCACCACCACTACCCACCACCACCACTACCCCACCACCACCCCCACCACCACCACCACCCCTTCACACCCCCACCACCAACACTCTCTCACCACCACTACCACCAACACCCCACCACCAACACCACCCCACCACCAACACTACCCCCAACACCAACTCTCTCACCAACACTACCCCCACCACCAACACCACCCCCACCACCAACACCCCCACCACCAACTCTCTCCCCACCACCACCACCACCACCACCACCACTAACTCCCCCACCATCCCCAACCCACCACCCCACCACCACCACCACCACCACCACCACCACCACCACCACACAACGCCACTACCCCACCAACACCATTACCCTCACCATCAGCACACTCCACCACCACCACCACCTCACCACCACCCCACCACCACCACCCCTCCCCCACCCTCACCATCCCCCCTCCCCACCACCCCCCTCCCCACCACTAACCCCAGCACCAACACTCCCCTCACCACCACCACTACTCCCCACCCCCCCACCACCCTCCCCACCGCCCTCCCCACCCCACCACCCCCACCACTACCCCCACCCCACCCCTCCCCTCCCCCACCGCCCCTCCCCACCACCCCCCCCCACCGCCCTCTCCTACCCCCACCACTAACCCCAGCAACACTACCCTCACCACCACCACCACTCCCCCACCACTACCCCCACCGCCCCCTCCCCCACCGCCCCTCCCCCCCCTCCCCCACCGCCCCTCCCCCCCCCCCCTACCACTACCCCACACCACCACCACTACCCTCACCACCACCCCTCACCACCCCACCCCCCCCCCCCCCCTCCCCACCCCTCCCCACCGCCCTCCCCCCCCTCCCCCCCACCGCCCACACCCCCACCAACACTACCCCACCATCACTACTACTCCCCACCACTAGCCACCACCAACCCCCATCACCAACACTACCCCATCACACTACCCACCACCACCACCAACGTTATCCACCACCGCTAACCATCCCCATACCACCACCACCACCACCACCAACACTATCCACCACCACCACTACCAACAACGTTATCCACCACCACTACCATCCCCATACCACCACCACCACCACCACCACCATCCCCACACCACCACCACCACCACGACCAACACTATCCACCACTACCATCTTCTCATCACCACAACACTTCATCTCTATATCTCTGGTCAACTCACTCAGCCTCGTCAACACCTGGGGTCGGGTTTTGCTGCAGCGTCAACAGGTGGAGGTCATCTGTCTGGATTATAGAACCCTACCTCCTCACTCTTACCACTATCTTAGTTGTCTTGATTCTAGTGGTGGTCTCAGTGTTCGCCTCCCTCTCTCTCTTTCTGTCTCTTTCTGTTTCTTTCCAATTGCGTGTCTGTCTTTGTCTGTCTAAATTTCGTGTTTATTTAAATCCTCTGAGACACACACACTAGATGGCTCTGGCGTCTGCTATCCCAAGCCTCGTGTCGATTCTCCTGAGAATTCCCCGTCACACATCCTGCTTATCTTAATCTCCCACTCAATATATAGCGTTGTCTTCCTTCAGTTCCTCGGGTTCGTGTCAGGGGCTGTTGGGTCTCCGGGGTCATACGTTATTCTCCCCTATCTATAACCATTAGGTCGAACCACCCCTCCTAGACGTCAGGCAGGTCAGTTCAGGTCGAGTTAGGGTCCAGCTTACTCCTCCAACACCACAATATCTTCTGACGGGGGATTGACTCTCTCTCTCTCTCTCTCTCTCTCTCTCTCACGGGTCATGACTAAGAGGGGCTCAGTCCATGTGACAATATACAACAACAACAAACACTGGCCACTCTATCATCACAGAGACCCAGACTCCCCTTGCCGCCATGTCACTATTCTGGGCCAGGCTTATCAAAGTTTTAAAAGAGCGTCACTGCAAACAGGAAGGGGGCAAGCGATCGTGCGTCTGGCGTAGTGTGATTAAATGGGGTTATTGCAAAGTAAAATAGGAACGCCAAGCCAAACGCTGTTGGTTGCCCGTGCTGGAGAAAACTGGATCTTATTAATTATTTTAAGAGAATAAATTATATGATAAATTTAACTTTCCTCTAAATTGGTGACGTTGGTATTCAGAACTTTTCGCTCACTATGAATTAATATAAAAATCGATTACTTCCCTGTGAAAAGAATCAATTTAGTCTTGAATAATGAAAAAAAACCCATAACAATAGGAATTATATGGTAGCAATATTACATACTTTCACTAAAACTGTTCTCTCTTTCCCTTTCCTCCCTCTCTGTCTCTCTCTTCCCCCTCTCTCTCTTCCCCTCCTCTCTCACTTATCCGTTTCTCTCTCTCTCTCTCTCTCTCTCTCTCTCTCTCTCTCTCTCCTCCCTCACACTCGTTCATTTTCTCTTCTTTCTTTCATTCTCTCCCCTTCTCTCTGTTGGGGGATGTGTAGTAGGTGTGGAATGTGTTGGGTGATGTGCAGTGATGTGATGTAGTGTGTGTTGGGTGATGTGCAGTGATGTGATGTAGAGTGTGTTGGGTAATGTGATGTGATGTAGAGTGTGTTGGGTGATGTGCAGTGACTGAGAGATGCTGTGGAATGAGCTGGGTGACGCAGTAGCCAAGATACGCTGTGGAGGTAAGCAATGTGGAGGACTGAAGCGCTGTGGTGTTAGGGTGGGTGATGTGCGGTGGAAGGGAGGTAAGCCAAGATGTGCGGTGATGGGAGGAAGGGGTGGTGCAGTGGATGGGAGTGTGCTGGGTGATGTGTGGTGGAAGGGAGTGTGGTGGGTGATGTGCAGGATGGAGGTAGGGTGATGCAGGATGGAGTGTGGTGGGTGACGTGCAGGATGGGAGTGCTGGATGATGTGCAGGGGTGGGAGGAAGGTGATGTGCAGGATGGGAGTGTGGTGGTGATGTGCAGTGGATGGAGTGTGGTGGGTGATGTGTAGTGATGGAGGTAAGCAGATGCAGTGGATGGGAGGTGGCGGGTGATGTGCAGTGGATGGGAGGTGGTGGGTGATGCAGTGGATGGGAGTGTATGGTGATGTGCAGTGATGGAGTGTGCTGGGTGATGTGCAGTGACCGAGAGCCGATGTAGCCGGGAGGCGGAGCTGCAGGACTGTGGGGTTGTTCGTTGTTAGGAATTTCCTGGAAGATTGGAGGAAATAGATGAGAGAGAGAGAGAGAGAGAGAGAGAGAGAGAGAGAGAGAGAGAGAGAGAGATTTTTTTTTTGCCTGATTTACTATCTATAATTTCAGCGTTACAAAAATCCGCAGAGTATGAATGCCAGGAATAATTTATGTCTTTCACGTCTCGCCAATATTTTCTGAACCGATTTTTTTTGGGGGGATGTGACTAAACTGTGCTCAGATTTATCTATCTGCCTCTCTCGTCTAAGAAGAAACACAAAAGGACACACGGACGCTAGACACTCGCCCTGATCGTGAGGAAAAACACAGCTGGCAGCCCTGACTATACCACAGTATAAAGAGGCGGTGCTGGTAGACGCTCATCATCAGTCCATCTCCAGACTCAATATGATCAACACGTTCCTCACCCTTTGTCTCTGCCTCGGTAACTTGGGCAGTAATATAAGTTAAATGGTGAAATACTGTGGCAGTTTGAGAGAATATATCAGTGTAGTCAACTTCTAGAGATTCTTAGTTTAAAGTTGATTTTAACTGTGTTTGTGTCCCTCAGGTGTGGTCGTGGCCGACACAATGACCACCGAGGTCACCAGGGTGAGTAGCTGGAGCCTTGTCCAATATTTATTCTATTTTTAATTTGATCAGAATGACAAATGTTTATTGTAATAAATCAGTACAAACAGATGGTGAGGTCAGCCTGGTAACAGTATACCCAGCAGGCACCTGTCCGGCGGAGTCATCAGTTATATCTTCCTCTCAGCTGGTGTTCTCAATGTCCGTCATTCTTACAGGAGAAGCGAGGTTTCCAAGGCGGCGGCGCCGGCGGCGATTATGGTGGAGGTTCTGGAGGTGGTGGCGGCTATGGCGGCGGTGCTGTTAGCGGCGGCGGAAGTTACTTGATCGTGGGCGGTGGTGGTGGCAGCCACGGACCCAGGGCCGCAGACATCGCCAACCAGGCTGCGGCTCAGGCCACCGCAGCTGCCGCTGGACTTGGTGGGGCCGCCAAATCTGCCGCTTCGGCAGCCGCCGGTCAGGCCGCAGCCGCAGCTTCTGCTGCCTCCCAGACTGCTCAGGCCGCCGCCGCCCAAAAGCACGCACAAGCCGCACAGATTACACAGGCCGCTCAGGGGGCACAGGCCGCTGCCTTCGCCGAGTCTGCCTTGGCAGGACGGGCCAGCCAGGCCATGCAGGCCGCCAAGATCACCTCCTCCTCGGCCTCTGGTCTGCTGGCCACCCTTGGCTATGTGACGGCCGAGGCCAACGCATTGGCCTCTCAGGCGGCCAACAGTCTGGCCGCCATACAGGCTTTCCTGGACGGTCAGCAGGCCATGGCCTGGCAGGCTCAACAGGCCGCCAACTCCCTCAACCAGCAGCAAAGTTTGGTCCTCAACGACCTGCAGTCAACACAGGCAGCAGCAGCGCAGGCCCAGGCGGCCGCCAGCAAGGCTCTGGCCAAGGCCAAGGGCAGCGGCGGCGGCTACGGCAGTGGGAGTGGCGGTGGCGGCTACGGTCACTAGACCTGAAGATGGACTTCGCCACTGTCACAACCTTACCGTAGTAACACTGGTAGCTGGAACAGTTTTTGTACTAGTATAAGTAATTTGTTGGTCAGAAATATATTCTATTTTGAGACGACCTTTGTGTTATTCTCCACATCCCTTAATAGTAGTTCTCGACTGTTATCACATTGTTTAGTGTATTATAACCCTAAAATTCATTAAGCTCTTGAGGGCCAGACCGGCCAGGATCTATTGCTTCTTTTGTTTTTTACTAATTCTCTCATCTCTTCTTCACGTTTCTTCTCACCTTTCTCCATTTCTTATTTCCACTTCCTCTACCTTCTTTTGTTTTCCCTCACACCTCTCTCTCTTCAGTCTATGCCTCCCTCCCCCCATTTTTTTTTGTTGCACCAGACAGCTCTATGAATACCAAACCTGACGGACTCACTCACTCACGACAAAGCTCTTGGTCCTACACAGTCGATGGATCACCCTTGTCCTCCTCATCTCGTAAGGCTCGGGTAAGGAAGGACTAGATCCATCCTTCTCGTGTCGGGGAACAAATGTTACAGGAAAAATCTAAATTTTTGGCTTTGGAAAAATTCATATAGTATAGAAACATATTTTTTCAATAGCATAAATAAAGTTAGGTCAGGTTAATTTAGTGTTAGGTTACATTAAAGTTAGGTTAAAGTTACGTTCGATTAGGTTAAGGTTAAATTTGTTCAAGGTTTATAAGTTAAAGTTGTGTTCGGTTTGATTAGAGTTAGATTAAGGTTAGATAGGTTAGGATAGGTTTAGGTTAGGTTCGGTTAAGGGTAGATTAGGTTAAGATTAGGTTAAGCTTGTGACATACATTCTTCAGCTCCGTCAGAGGACAAGGCTTTGAACCCTTCTCTGGACAGACCGTAACCAGCGGGGCTCAAAGGGAGAGGGTCAGGGCGTGGCAGGTAGGGGAGGCCAGGGAGAACTTTGGGACAAGGAAAGTCAGGGAGGACATTAGGATAGGGAAAGTCAGGGAGAACATTAGGACAGGGAAAGTCAGGTAGAACATTAGGACAGGGAAAGTTAGGGAGAACACCAGGACAGGGATAGTCAGGGAGAACACCAGGACAGGGATAGTCAGGGAGAACACCAGGGCAGAGATAGTCAGGGAGAATATCGGGAGAGGGGTTTCAGGGAGAACATTAGGACAGGGAAAGTTAGGGAGAACATTGGGACAGAGAAAGTCAGGGAGAACACCAGGACAGGGATAGTCAGGGAGAACACCAGGGCAGGGATAGTCAGGGAGAATATCGGGAGAGGGGTTTCAGGGAGAACATTAGGACAGGGAAAGTTAGGGAGAACACCAGGACAGGGATAGTCAGGGAGAATATCGGGAGACGTATGTCAGGGAGAACATCGGGTCAGGGAGGTCAGGGAGAACACCAGGACAATGAAAGTCAGGGAGAACATTAGAACAGGAAAAGTCAGGGAGAACATTAGGGCAGGAAAAGTCGGGGAGAACACCAGGGCAGGGATAGTCAGGGAGAATATCGGGAGGGGGAGAACATCGGGGTAGGGAGATCAGGGAGAACATTAGGACAGGGAAAGTCAGGTAGAACACCAGGACAGGGAAAGTCAGGGAGAACATTAGAACAGGGAAAGTCAGGGAGGATATCAGGGCAGGGAAAGTCAGGGAGAACATCAGGGCAGGGATAGTCAGGGAGAATATCGGGAGAGGGGTGTCAGGGAGAACATTAGGACAGGGATAGTCAGGGAGAACACCAGGGCAGGGATAGTCAGGGGGAATATCGGGAGAGGGAGAACATCGGGGCAGGGAGGTCAGGGAGAACATTAGGACAGGGAAAGTCAGGTAGAACACCAGGACAAGGATAGTCAGGGAGAATATCGGGAGAGGGATGTCAGGGAGAACACCAGGGCAGGGTGGTCAAGGCAATCATCAGGTAATGGAGATCAGGGAGAACATTTGATCGGAGAAAGTCAGGGAGAACATCAGGGCAGGGAGATTAGGGAGATCAGGGAGAACATCAAGGCAAGGAGATTAGGGAGATCAGGGAGAACATCAAGGCAGGGAGATTAGGGAGATCAGGGACAACATCAAGGCAGGGAGGTCAGGCCATGAGTGTGTTTTCACCAATATAACCCTAAGTTAGCGTCACTTTAGCCAACTAATATATCATCATCAAAACAGAGATTATGGAGGAGCCACCAGCACTTAGTAGAAGATGGTGGCTCACTTCCTCAACCCCTGTGACAAGGGAGAGGCGGAGGAGAGAGGTAGGGAGGTGAGATGTGGGAGGGAGAAAGGGGAAGGAGAGGTGTGAGGGGGGATGAGAGGTGGTGGAGGGAGAAAGGGTGAGGAGAGTTGTGAGAGGGAGAAAGGGGAGGGAGAGAGGTAGGAAGAGAGAGGAGTAGTGTAGGGAGGGGAGACAGGAGAAGGGAGGGGGGGGAAATGGTGAGAGGAGGAGGGGAGAGACAGAGGAGAGATATGAGAGATAGAATGAAGAGAAACAGAGGAATACGGAAGAAAGAAGGAGTAAGGAAGTAGAGATGATAAAATAGAGGGGATCGTTTTTTTTTTAGTTTAACAAATTTATTGACAAAGCTTGTAGTGCAGTTTGCCTATTCTGAGTAATTCAGTTAGGTCTTGACACCGAGGGTGGTATCACTTCTCACTGCCACGCAGGACAGAGGTCCATACGCAAAGAAATGCATCATATTCATTAATAGTATATATAGGTCAGATTCATGTGGGTAATGTCATTGTTCACTGCCATGCAGGACAGAGGTTCGTACACAAAGAAATACATCATATTCATTAGCAATATATATATATATATATATATAGGTCAGTGGTTCACATACATGGAGTCATATTCTGATTGAAGACTAATCAGTGTGGGCTAGCAAATTTGGGATAAACCGCAAGAATGTCCTCAAGCACCCCCGATTCCACGTAGTAATTACAAAGTTCAAGATACAATAAGTCAGGTGGCCTGAAGTCTTTGACAGTATCACATTCAATAATATAGTGTTCAAGTGGATGCTTTAAAGGTTTATCACAAAGTTTACATGCCGAGTGTCCCGGTATGGGTACAGCGTTACTAACTTGCCAGATGTGTCTGTATCCTAGCCTAATTCTGGCCACGACTACATCACAGATCGGTGATGTAATATTAATTGAGGAAGAAGTGTAGTGGAAGGCGATCATAGGTGTCATTATTATTGTTATTATTGTTATTCTTGTTATTGTTATTATTGTTATTATTGTTGTTGTTGTTGTTGTTGCTGCTGCTGTTGTTTTTGGTGTTTTTGCTGCTGTTGTTGTTGTTGTTGTTAGAAGTAGCAGTACTCTAAACATAGGTAAAGGAGCGTCACACATGTCTTAATTCAATCTCTATTCATTCTTCCCCTTACACCTTCACCACACTGAAACACCTGAGGCACACTATAGCGATGAAAGTGACGCATTGTGTAGAAAGAAGCTCGACGTGGCAACTCTGTGTGGGTGTGTGAGTATATAAAGCCGTGCGCCGCCACTTAGGGCATCAGATGAGCAACAACTTCTATAGGAGTGACAAGATGACTCATAGCTTTTGGATCCTCAGCCTCTGTCTTGGTGAGCTGCTGTTAAATGGATGGAATGTGGTTACTGAGGGTGATATGTCGATTGTATCTGTCTCTCTCTCTCTCTCTAACAAAATCTCTATAAACCTGGTTTTCCTCCTCCCTCCTCAGGCACGGTGCTGGCAGAGGACTTGGTTAAGAACGATCTTCCAAGGGTGAGTTATTGTCTCTTATCTTAACTGAAATACCTTAATTTAATGTCTCTCTCCTCTTAAAAGAAACACCTTCAAGTTAATGTCTCCCCTTCACTGTGTGGCTCTGTAGCGTGTGGCCCCGGTGGTGTGTGGCCCCGCTGGTGTGTCGTCAGCAAAGTTTTCTCCCCACCTACAGGACAAGCGAGGCTTCCTCGGCGACGGCGGTTATGGTGGAGGTACTGGAGGTGGCGGCGGCTATGGCGGCGGTGCTGTTAGCGGCGGCGGAAGTTACTTGATCGTGGGCGGTGGTGGTGGCAGCCATGGGCCCAGCGCCGCAGACATCGCCAACCAGGCTGCGGCTCAGGCCACCGCAGCTGCTGCAGGACTTGGTGGGGCCGCCAAATCTGCCGCTTCGGCAGCCGCCGGTCAGGCCGCAGCCGCAGCTTCTGCTGCCTCCCAGACTGCTCAGGCCGCCGCCGCCCAAAAGCACGCACAAGCCGCACAGATTACACAGGCCGCTCAGGGGGCACAGGCCGCTGCCTTCGCCGAGTCTGCCTTGGCAGGACAAGCCAGTCGGGCCGTGCAGGCCGCCAAGGTTACATCCTCCTCGGCCTCTGGTCTGCTGGCCAACCTTGGCCAGGTGACGGCCGAAGCCAACGCTTTGGCCTCTCAGGCGGCCAACAGCCTGGCCGCCATACAGGCTTTCCTGGACGGTCAGCAGGCCATGGCCTGGCAGGCTCAACAGGCCGCCAACTCCCTCAACCAGCAGCAAAGTTTGGTTCTTAACGACCTGCAGTCAACACAGGCAGCAGCAGCGCAGGCCCAGGCGGCCGCCAGCAAGGCTCTGGCCAAGGCCAAGGGCAGCGGCGGCGGCTACGGTGGCGGTAGTGGTGGTGGCGGCTACGGCGGCGGTAGTGGCGGTGGCGGCTACGGTCATTAGACCACAACTTGTACTTTTCAGCCAAGAACACACAACACCGAGTATGCAGAACACCTCCAGAATATTTCTTACTCAATAAATTCTGTAATACTTAATGGTCGTTTGGCTACACAAAACCCTGAAGTGAACTCGTGTTGAGGTGTTGTTGTACAGCCGTCACTCCGCCGTGTTCAACACCCTCCTGCCTGGACACAAGACACAAATAAAGGTCTGATTCTTTTATTATTCCAGACAATTTCATAAACAAATAATAACCTCGTTAATCTGTTCCTTATTTATGGACAATAATTGGGTACGAAATAACAAAGTTGCCGCTCAAGACTCCCGAGGCTCTCCTGGTGAAAGGCAGACCCACCATTAGTGAGGATAAACAACAGCTCCTTCTCATCAAACAACAACAACAGGTGTCACAGGTGTTATATCTCACCTGAATAATAAACGTCAATCAACTTAACTTTTCTATTATTTCCATTAACGGGCAATATTCATACGTCCATTAGTGACCACCCACCTGTGAGTTCAGTCGTCTACCCCACCTCTGTACAGAACGACTGAACCTCACCACCACCCCCGCCCCCCTTCTCCACCCACCCCTATATACGACCAAAAGTAGAGGTGGGAGAGAGAGAGAGAGAGAAGTAAGAAGAAGAAGAAATGAAGATCGTAAGAATGGGAAATAGAAGAAAAATAAGATAAATATAAGACTAGAATTAAAATCGAAGCTAGAATAAGTAAGATGAAAGAATGAGAGGAAGTTTGGATAAAAGTAACGAGAAACAAAAAAGAAGAGACTAAACACGGAATAAGAGAGAGATGAGAAAGAAAATATGAAAAAGTAAAATAAATCAAAAAGAGAGGCAATCCAGGAAGAAAATATGATAAAAATGAACAAGAAACAGGGGAATGGAAGAAAATCAACACGAAGATAAGAAAGAAAAAAAGAACGGTATAACAATAGACGAAAGAAAGAAGACATGATAAAGAAACAGTTTATTCATCCAGAAAAATACAGATAGAGTGAATACTAAAAAAAAAAAATAATAATAATATATTGACATACCTGAGCTCTCTTGTAGGCACCTGATATATACTGTACATTTATCTCAAGGAAGTATTATATAACATTTAATATCATCTGGATTAGTACACGTAAATATGATGTTATTAAATACAGAAGAGAATGTTACCACGATTATTACTTTGTTATTTATTTATTTAGTTATTTTACATTTCATTTATATATATATACAGTACATGTTTTACAGTAGAGTTGATATACAGTAATCTGATACGGTGAGGGAAAAATGACAAGATAGAGAGATAGATAGTAGAGATAGAGAGATAGATAGTAGAGATAGAGAGATAGATAGTAGAGATAGAGAGATAGATAGTAGAGATAGAGAGATAGATAGTAGAGATAGAGAGATAGGTAGTAGAGATGGAGAGATAGATAGTAGAGATGGAGAGATAGATAGTAGAGATAGAGAGATAGATAGTAGAGATAGAGAGATAGATAGTAGAGATGGAGAGATAGATAGTAGAGATAGAGAGATAGATAGTAGATATATAGAGAGAGAGAAAGAACAAAAGGCAATTAAATGAACCATAAAAACGAAAAAAAAAGATAATTACCCAAAATACAATAACAGTTAAATAATTCCAAGGTCAAAGGTTATTAAATATTGGCCGAATAAATCCACCAACATGTGTATAATTAAATCCTCCCTAAAACATATTGATATTTTGGTTAGGGATTTTTTTAAGGGAAGGGGGATTACTGGCGGGGATTTTTCTGCACGTTTGGACTTGTTTAGGGATTTTTGGTAGGAAGGGAGTTTGTGGTAGAGGAAGGGAAGGGAGGTATGGAAGACACTAACCTAACCTAACCTAACCTAACTTAACCTAACCTAATCCCGGTAAAGAGTCCAACAGGTTAATAAAGATATTGTAACAACAGACAATAACAATGAGAGAGGGAGAGAGAGTATGGCTAGTCTCTATCTCTCTCCCTTCTCCCTCTCTGTCCCTCCCATCTCCCTCCCTCTCCCTCCCTCCCTCTCTCTCCCCCTGTAATAAAAGGTTAATATCTCCCTATACGTTTTTTTAATCACCCAATGATACGCTTCAGATGTCCGTAAAATCGTCGGTCATTAAAGTCGGGTTTACTGAATGTTTGAGTGGTGCTGTAGCCTTTATGTCCCGGGAGGCAGGTAACACAAGCTCTCTCTCTCTCTCTCTCTCTCTCTCTCTCTCTCTCTTCCATACAATACCCAACAACTTTCACACCCACATATTCACAACACTAAACTTCTACCTCTTTTCATCTCCCCCCTCCTCCAACCCCCCCCCGCCCCTCAGAGATACAATACACCTGAAGACGCTCTGTTTAATCTATTAAAAGTTGCCGCAAGCGCCCTCCCGCAGCCTCATGCCCTTCTCCGCCGCTGCAGTTATCTTTTGTCTTTTGAGAAATGCGTCATCACCGAGTGCGGCTTAAATTCATACTGAAACTATAGATGACATAGGATTGAGTTTGGACGCTTCTGACTATTGGCTATAGAGGGTTGGATTCCTTATATCCCAAGTTTAAAGACGATGGAGGATCGTCATTAAAAGATTCGAATCTATTTGTTTTGGTCTTTATGATGTATTTATGAGTTTATTGCCAATAAAGGGTTTGATTCCTTATATCTCTGGAACCAATGACTGAAGAGTATCGTCAATAAAGGATTTGAATCTTAATATTATATTATTTGTTTTTGGTCGTGTTGATTATGGTGATTGTGAGTTCGTCATCTATGTAACTTTAATATAAAAAGAATTTGGATGATTATTATATTATTGAAAAGACTAAATTACTTATATACATACAGACACTAAAGGAAAGAGAGCAAGTTATGAAAGTTCAAACTATTTTTTTTATAAACATTGATATCAACAGAGACACGTGAAGCAGAGCGCCTGTCAGCTGACTCACGAAAACAATAAAATCTAGAGTTTATGGGCAATACGCATCACCTACAGTCCTACACCATGTGGAGGTTGGGCGTGAACGCTCTCGTCGCCTGTCAGCTGATTCAACAAAACAATAACAACTCATATTTACAAACAACACCAGGGCCCGTGCAGGAGTGAACGATCCGTGCCTTCAATCAGCTGATGCACGAAAACAAAGACAACTTATGTAATGTAAACAATGCACATCACCTGGGACATTCGGGGCCGAACCCTTCCTCTACTCCTGTCAGCTGATTCACCAAAACAATAACTCCCCTTGACGATATTTCTGAGGTAAGAATTCTCTCTCTCTCTCTCTCTCTCTCTCTCTAGTTCGTTCTCTTTTACGCGACAACACAGAGATGGTCGATAACATTATAGCTGAATTGTACCGAGACTTCTGCACCTGGGTAAATGTTCTTACCTTCAATTAGAAAGATAAATTACGTACTTTATATCTTTGTGTCACGATGTTTTTTTTAAATGTGTCTGTAGTTTAATATTTGATTCATTGATTATTAAACTTTTTTTACGCCTTACTGAAAATGTGATGAAATTACTGAATATTGTTGTGATTTATTAACGGTGTCTAGGAAGTCCCGTTGTTGTTACTGTTGCTCCCCCTTTTCCCGTTACTGTTGTCATGGTTTCATCCCTAACCTCTTACTAATGTTGAAGCCTCTACACCTCCTCTTTCCCCTTATTCTAACTGACTCACTCTTCGCCGCTCACCTGATAGTGTGGCCACGGTAAGGGTTGCGCCATCACTATAGGGCGTCGAGTATATAAAGCCGGGCCAAGAACAATTGAGGTACCAGTCTCACTATGGCCGCCCTCAAGTATGCTACTCTACTCTGCCTCCTCGGTGAGTTGTGGAGTCTTCAGGTGACTCCTTCGGGATTCGTATAGATAATTAATTTTGTTCGGGGTTTTCCTGAGGGACTCCTTCGATATATCTGAATGAATCCTTCGGGGTTCCTCAATAAATCCTTCGGAGGATTAAGTTACTCTAGAAATTAGTTCTTTTTGTTTATTGTACTTCCATAATGCCCCCCACACACACAAAATGAAACCTGTAACTTTCTGAACCACAAATCATTTCTACTCTCGCGTCACCGATGAACAAAAGAGCTATATTTAACTTTAAAGTTGAGAGTTGCGTGCCAAGATACAGCCCAGAGTTAACATTTACGATTTATTCACAAGTGATAAAAACAAACAAACTAATAAACGAAGAGAATAAATTAACAGTTTATTCATCATTTACTAATTCCTGAAAAACAAAATAGAATTAACACAGAGGAGAGTTTGTGGGATCTCTTATAAGTGGCGTTGGATTCTCTATAGACGAGGTTCTTGAGTCTTTCCTGTACTTATTGTTGATGTTTATCTCAGGGTTACGTGGTGTTGTTTGTTGCTTCTATATCAGGGTTGTATGGACCATTTCTTAATGTCTTTTTTGTTGCTAGTTAGCGTATCTCCTACAAGGTGTGTGATGAGAGACAGAGAGACAGAGAGACAGAGCTTAATCTCCCTATCAGTAATTCTCCTACATTTTATTCATGTTTTCATCAATTTATTCTTTTTCCTGACAGACAGACAGACAGACAGACAGATACAAAGTAAAAAAAAACAATGGGAAGAATGAAAATGAATAAGACAAGACAAACAGACAGACAGACAGACAGACAGACAGACGGACAGAATTAAAAGACTCTCTCAGTAAGGTTCATTATGTCGTTCTCAAGGGTGTTGTTCCTGTCTCACGGTACAGGTGTGGTGGTGACGGAGACGCTGACGAAGGAAGGGGTCGAGGAGGAGCCAGCCAGGGTAAGTCATATCTCGCTCTTGTCTTAAGCATTGTACAAGTGGTTAGTGTTTTTGTTTTATTTTGTCTGTGTGTGTATGTGTGTGTGTGTGTGTCTGTCTGACCTGTCTGTCTATGTATGTATGTATGTGGTGTAATGGTCAGCATCCTCACCTCACAAGCGAGCGGAACTGAGTTCGATCCCCGGGCAGGGTGAAACTGTGGGCAAGTTTCTTTACGCCATTTGCCTCTGTCTACCCAGCAGTAATTGGGAACCTGGATGTTAATCGATTTGCAGATCGTATTCCGGGGTAATGGTTAGCCGGTGCAGTTGGAGAATTGCCCGGTCTTCTCGGACTATTCCGTGACACTGGGTCATGCAGCTCGTTAACTTAGGGTGTGGTTGTTGTGTTGGCGACAGCTTCTACACCTTAACAAATTCACGTCTAGAGGCCCTTGGGCCGGCCATCCTCGATTTCGAAGGGCTTCCATTATTATTATTATTATTATTATATTATGTATATATGTATGCATGTATGTATGTATGTATGTATATATCTATCTATCTATCTATTTATCTATATATCCTTAGTGGTTCAGTTACGCTTTCGTTTGTGTCATTTTCATCACAAGTGATAATTTTTAAAGTAATTTATGAGGCTCACCTGTGAGGCTCACCTGTGAAGCTCACCTGTGGCCCTCACGGTGGATCACCACCATGTAGGTCCTCTCGGAGTCACACAGAGGACAGGTGTGGTGTTGAGAGAGTGTAGTGGCCCGCGGGGTGTGTGATCACGTGTGTGTCATGATTCTTGCAGGAGAAGCGAGGCTTTATTGGTGATGACGGCGGCTACAGCAGTGGTGGTGACCACAGTGACGGCAGCTACAGCAGTAGTGGTGACCACAGCAGCGGCGGCTACAGCAGTGGTGGTGACCACAGTGGCGGCAGCTACAGCAGTAGTGGTGACCACAGCAGCGGCGGCTACGGCAGTGGTGGTGACCACAGTGACGGCAGCTACAGCAGTAGTGGTGACCACAGCGGCGGCGGCTACAGCAGTGGTGGTGACCACGGTGACGGCAGCTACAGCAGTAGTGGTGACAGCGGCGGCTGCAGCAGTGGTGGTGACCACAGTGACGGCAGCTACAGCAGTGGTAGTGGTGACCACAGCAGCGGCGGCTACAGCAGTGGTGGTGACCACAGTGACGGCAGCTACAGCAGTAGTGGTGACCACAGCAGCGGCGGCTACAGCAGTGGTGGTGACCACAGTGGCGGCGGCAGCGGAGGCTACCTGGTCATCGGTGCTGGTGGCGGTGGCGGACACGGCTCTAGTGCCGCCAGCATCGCCAACCAGGCCGCAGCTCAGGCCATTGCAGCCGCCGCAGGCCTTAAGGAAGCCTCCCAAGCCGCAGCATCCGCAGCGGCGAAACAAGCAGCTGCTGCCGCATCCGCAGCTTCACAGACTGCTACTGCCGCGGCGGCCCAGAAGCAGGCGCAGGCTGCGAAAATCACGCAGGCGGCACAAGGGGCGCAAGCTGCCGCATACGCCGAGTCTGCTCTGAGTGCACAGGCCGCTACAGCCGTCCAGGCGGCCGAGTCGACCTACAACCTGGCCCAGCAGATATCCCATGATTTGGCCGCCGCTCAGGCCGAGACACAGGCCATCACCCAGCTGGCCCTGCAGACCCTCCGTGTTGCCATGTCAGTGCAGTCAGCACAGTCGGCCATGGCCTGGCAGGCTCAGCAGGCCGCCAACTCCCTCAACCAGCGACAAAGTTTGGTCCTCAACGACCTGCAGTCAGCTCAAGCAGCAGCAGCGCAGGCCCAGGCGGCCGCCAGCAAGGCTCTGGCCAAGGCCAAGGGCAGCGGCGGCGGCTATGGCGGGGACACGGGCGGCTACGGCGGCGGTAGTGGCGGTGGCGGCTACGGCGGCGGCAGTGACGATGAGGGTCACTAG